AAAGATTACTGTGATCTCAAACAGGGGATATAATATGTAACTCAGCCAAGGTTCAAAATTATGTACACACTAAATATGTTTTTACTCTTGTTGATTTAGAGTTTTCCTTGTAAACTTTAACTACTGCTATTAATACCTTATAACAACCATCATATACAGACAGATTGTAAATAAAGCAGGTAAAACTGTAAATCTATAAACATTAAAGTTAAAGCTCAGTCCTCTTACTTTAAAACTGGTAAGACTGACTTGCTAGATGTTTAAGGGCAAAAAAAAAGGGGCCAAAAAACCCAATATTTTTCTCTTGTCCTTAGTCAGCTTGAACCTAGGGGGCAAGGGGAAGAACTCTGGGCCACATAACCTCCTGATCAGGAAGATTAATGAGGCCATAGAGAATGGAAGCCAGTGAGTGCATGTGCTGCAGAAGAGGAAGGTCATTGGAAAAAGGAGACATCCCTGATGCTTTCAAGGGAAGCCACACGGCCAGTGGGTGTCAACCCATCCTATGCAGATGGCACTAGCAGAGCTAAGAGGCTGCTCACAAGTTCCCCCAGAGTGACTGCCAAGGGGAACTCACTTGACTCTTAACAATAGCTAGAACCAAGGTCCATTTGACCATGTTGATCTTAAACACCTAGCAAAAACAGTTAAAACCAAGAAACTACAAATCCTGGACAGTTACTGTAATTTAAGTTACACATTTATGTTAGAGCCCCCTACCACGAAATAAATAAGATTTTTAAAAAACTGCCCAAATTAAAAGTTCTTAGTCAGTTTAAGGCCTTCAGATCTCTGAGCTCCCACACAGATATTCTCTATCCCTAAGTAACAAAGATAAAGGGATCTCTACTAAGTTCAAAGGACATGCCAATAAAAAGTTATTTTACAGAAATCAGATGACATTAAGTAACTTAATGAAGTGTTCTGATTATATTCCTGATAAGTCTGACAATATTAGAGGTTTACATTCCGAAATAAAGGCCTTATTAGTCTTTATGAGGCCTTGTTATGGGGATGCCTTCTCAGTTTTTGCACTTACTGATGAAAGAATATTAAATAGTACATGTTACACATGATGCAACATTTATTTTATATTACTCTCATTTCAGGACTCCTGTCTTTTTGTTTCCCCTCATAAAAGCACCAACCGCCAGGTGACTTTACGACCTGTTCTTCATGAACCAAACTTTCATCATGGACCCCTTTGACCAATCCAGTTCTCAAAAGGACTCCAAAAGGCTTGCCCTGCTGCACATCACCCCTTCTCAGCTTGAAAAAACAAGAGCTGTTGTTGCCCTTTTTCTTACAGGAGTAGGAAATCCCTAAAATTAGAAGGGAAAATACAATCAATGTAAATTGGGAATAGGGTCAAGTCACAAAGTGGAGGCTAATTTGGGTTCAAAAATTGTTAGAAGTTCTGAGCTGCTAAAACAACATTTCAAAGGCTTAAGCAGACACGTAGACTTAGACGTAACACAATTAGAACAGTCAGTCAACAAGCTTAAAAGCTCCCTCAATTCCTTGGCAGAAATGATGTTACAAAATAGAAGACAACTAAACCTTCTGTTTTTGAAACAAGATTGTCTCTGTATGGCCTTAGGAGAAATATGTTGTTTCTATACTAACCACTCCTGGGTAATAAGAGACAACTTATCACAGATGCAAAAAAAAAAGATTAAAGGAAAAAAAAAGACTAAAAAATTAGTAGCAAAATTTGTTTTCTTGGTCTCCATGGCTCACCACTCTCATGGACAGACCTTTGCTGTTAATTCTCCTTGGACTCTTAATTGTAGTATGTATTCTAAACGATCTGACGTAGAACCCAAAACAACAGATACCATCTATGAACTTACTGGTTTGAAGAACTAGATATGACCCAATGTATACAGAGGAATCAATGATTTGGTTAAGTCCCATAAAATCAGTGGGGCATGTTATGGCTGGCCTTAATCAATATTTACTATAGGACATTATAAATTATAGGTTATAAAATATGAATAAGCAGGATAATAAGATTATGTGATATGTGTAATAAATTAAATAATGTTAAGCTGTTTCTAAGATGTTAAAACTTGTTTTTCAGTACTTCATATGCCCACAAATGTGCTCCAATCCAGGATGTGACTGTCTGTTTTTGCTCTGCAAACTGCTTTCTCAGTCTTTGTGTCCTGCTTGCTTGCCTTCACCTACGTTTTCAAGGATATGTTTTTTTT